AATTTTATATAATATACCTATTGTTTTATTTATTTTTTTGGAAATAAAATTAATGTGCGTGTCCCAGGATAAGTTATCGTTGATGAAGATACCTAAAAATTTTGTTGAGCTCGATCGATGTATGGGATTACCATTGATTTGTATATTTAAGTCTGTGATACAATTGGTTAGTATTCTTGGTCCAAATATCATATATGTGCACTTTGTATAGTTTATTATTAAATCATTAAAGGTAAACCAATTGGCGATGGATTGAATTTCATTGTTGATAAAATTTAAATCTTTGTTAGGTTCTTTAGTATGAAAGTATATAGTCGTGTCATCAGCAAATAATAAAAATTTAGCTGATGTAGTTATGTGGCATAGATCATTTATAAATAAGGTAAAAAGTATTGGTCCTAATATGGAGCCTTGTGGGACTCCGCAGTTAATCTGGAGCCTTTCTGATTCATAGGTTTCGATTGAGACATATTGTTTTCTTTCTCCAAGGTAAGAGGAAAACCATTTATATGCAACTCCTCTTATACCGTATGAATAGAGTTTTCTTAACAGTTTTTCATGGTTTATTAGATCAAATGCCTTTGATAGATCTATAAAAATTCCTAGTGTGAAGATCTTTTCATTCAATTTTTCCATCACTCTCTGCGAAAATTCTACTATAGCAAGCTCCGTTGAGTGGTCTGCTCGAAATCCATACTGACTTTCATGAATAATATTTTTAAACTGTATAAAAGATTTTAATCTCTGGCACATCAATTGTTCTATAATTTTTGAAATAGGCGAGAGAAGAGAAACAGGGCGGTAGTTAGATATATCTAACCGATCTCCTTTTTTGTAAACTGGTATTACTTTAGCGGTCTTAAAGCATTGAGGAAAGTAGCCCTGTGAGAAAGAAAGTTTGCATATGTATGTTAAAGGCTTTATTATTTCGTTAATCATCTGTTTGATTAAGTAATTACTTAAGTTATCCTGAGAAATACTTGTTTTGTTTTTCATATTTTTAACTATATTTAAAATTTCTATTTCATCAACTGGTCTTAAAAAGATGGATTGACATATTGAATTTGCAATTTTAAATTTCTCATGATAATGTTTGGGTTTATTTTGATTATCCAATAAAGTTTTGGCAATGTTGATGTAGTAGTTGTTAAATTCATCACATATTTCTTTTTTATTTTCTATTAAATTATTATCAATTTTTATGCTACTTATGCTAAATGTATTCTTTTTTCTATTAAGTACATTGTTTATAATATTCCATTTTTTCTTTGCATCATTTTTGGCGTCTACATACATACATACATACATACATACATACATACATACATACATACATACATACATATATACATACATACATACATACATACATACATACATACATACATACATACATACATACATACATACATTCATACATACATACATACATACATATATACACACACACACACGCACGCATACACGCATACACACACACACATGCATGCATACATACATACATATATACATACCCACATTCATACATACCTTCATTCTTTCATTCATGCATGCCTGCATCCATTCATTCCTTCATTCATTCACTCATTACTTCATCCATTCATTCACTCACTTCTTCTCTTGGTAAGGAGGTCTAGTTGATTTGTCAACTTCAGGTTGTACGGTCGTAGTGGTTCTATACGGTGATTTATCATCATCATCATCATCATCGTCTTTAAAATCAACATCATCACCTTCACCACCACCGTCATCTATTTCTTCTTCATCATCACCACCATCATCATCATCATCATCATCTACTTCATCATCATCGTCATCATCATCATCATCATCATCATCATCATCATCATCTACTTCATCATCATCGTCACCATCATCATCATCTTCTTCATCCTCATTATCTATTTCATCATCATCACCATCATCTACTTCATCATCATCATCATCATCGTCATCATCATCACGCATGAAGGCAAACGAAAATAGATCTAAATGCATTGGGTTCATCACAGAAGTTTTCTTACCGTTAATTGCTTTTTCGCTATCATCATCATCACCATCATCATCACCATCATCGTCACCATCATCATCACTATCGGCATCATCATCATCACCATCGGCATCATCACCATCGTCATCATCATCATCATCACCACCACACTCACGTTGTTGTCTTCCTCCTCTTATGTTCACTGGCATCAGTTGATGATATGGCGATAACAAACAACAAAAACAACAATGACTTCAGCATAGACAAATAATCTTTTGAAATTATTTTCTTTGTTGCGAAATATTTTTTCTTTGTTGTCGTTGATGGGAAATAATTTTTTATTGAATTAATTTTTGCCGCTAATAAATTAGGAACTCTTAATGACGATGTTGTTGTTGATGTTGTTGTTGATGTTGTTGATGATGTTGTTGTTGTTGTTGATGTTGTTGATGTTGTTGTTGGATTGTTGGTCCTCCGATAAATTGCCATAGTTGTCTGAATGTGTTCAGAAAAGATAACTAATTCATTCTTTCATTCATTCATTCATTCATTTATTCATTCATTCATTCACTCATTTGTTCATCTATTCAATCATTCATTTACAGAGTGAGTGACCTATTTTTAATCTGTTATAATTTGTTAAAGTTTCAGATTCAATTCTCTTGTTTGTAGCCAATACAGGTTGGTTTAATTTCGTAAAATTTGACATTTTATTCTATTAATTTAATCATTCGTTCATTTATTGTTATATAATAAATAAATAAATGAATGAATAAATGAATTAATTAATTAATTCATTCAATCATTCAATCATTCCTTCTTTCGTATTGTCTTCCCTCTATCATTCATTCCTTTTGATTACTCATTCGTTCACACTCGCATTAAAATTTTCAAAGAGCTAAAAAATTGTCCAGCGTTCATTCATTTAATTTTTTATCCGTCAGTCCATCCGACTATCTTCTTTCATTCGATCTTTCA